TGGTCTAGGTACAGATTTCTTGGAAGTACAATTAAGTGTTCTGGAATACTCATACTTCTCAATGTTGTCCATAGCTTGTCATGATCCACACAATCAAAGGCCTTTGCGTAGTCAATAAAGCACAGGTAAACATCCTTCTGATATTCTCTGCTTTCAGCCAAGATCCATCGGACATCAGCAATGAAAATGTAAGTAGTGTATCTAAAAAAGCCCTTTGTCTCAATGAATAAGTAAAACAATGAATTCAGGGCTTTAAAACAATTAAATAGCAGCTATTAATGTGCTGGACTGCAAAGTTGGTTTGAACTGCAAGGTCAATGGTTCAAGCTCACCAGCTGCACCTTGGAAACCCTATGCAGGGTTGCTGTGGGTTGAAACTGACACTATGGCACTTAGCAACAACAACAACAACAACAAATACATTTTAAAAGTGAGTTGATGATGATGAAAAATGATTGAACTTTAACTGGTCAATTTAAAAGTGAGATGTTGAGTTATCTTTTCATTTGCTTACAATGTGTTAGTTAATTTGGCTATGTTATAAACAGGAGTTAAATTTTTCTATACTTTGGAGGTGCCTCTTTGAGACAATTTAGAAAAGGTTTTTTTATATGGACAGAAAGCCTTCCAGGGAACCTCAATATAACAAGGATGATTTGGTGAAAAATAGTCAGGTGAACTTTACATTGGTATGTCTCATTGCACTAGGTTTGATGTAACCGATTCGATGGCACTCAGCACCACCACCAACAACAACCAGCTTTTGTTATGATTCCTTTTATCGACCATAGTTGTAGGAAGCCTGCCTTGGCAAGAGCATCTCAACTAATTCGGGTTTTGTGGAAGAGATGGATCGGGTTCGTGGTGATCCCTCTGTTTTTGCTTTGAATGAAAGCTCATCAAAGGAACCCACTATTCCTCAGTGGACTTTGTAACATTTTTCACCCTCTGGGATCTCCTTCAGGGACTCACAGAAGAAACAGCCACTAGAAAGGCAATTAGAGACTTTACCAGCAGTCAGTTTAACTCTTAGAGCAGGTGGACTTAAAAGCCAACAGAACATCTTGATACTTTGTTTTGTATCAACATTTGTTCAGATCTGGGCATGAAGAACCCATGAGTGAGGAAGGCCAAGGACGGAGTTCAAAGACTTCATAACTGTCCTTTTCTACTTCTCAGCTGGGGAGAAGCCACCTCACAGTTGGTGTGGGTTTCCCACGGCTGTTGTAAGCATTAATTGTAAAGTTGGTGGTGTAAAACCACAGAAATGAATTACTGCACTGTTTTGGAGGCGAGAAGTCAGTATTGGTGGGTTGAAGGCAGAGCTGCATCCTCTGGGAGCTTTGGGAAGGATTCTGCTCATGGTCTCTTCCAGGCTGTAGTGTTCACAGGAGTTCCTTGGCTCAGAGGTGCACCCTCCCGTCTTTATTTCTCAGATTACACTTCCTTGTTTTCCATCTGAGTCAAATCGTCCTCTTTTGTGTTGTTGTTAGGTGTTGTTGAGT